AAAAATTAGTTGGTCATGGATATATGGGTTTAGTTCTGTAGTTTCAATTCTATTACATTTACATATGTCTATCCTTCTGCCAGTACCAAAAGTTTTATGGTTTTTTCCATATTGGTCTTAACACATTTTTGTTTGGTTTATCTCTAGATATTTTCCAATTTTGTTGCTATTATAGAAAGAAACTTTGAAAAATTATATTTTTAATCAGTTATTGCTAATAACTAGGATATCTCTCTATATATAGTTAGATTTTTTTAACAACTGATAATCTATTTACTTTTTTTTTTTTTTTAAGATTTTATTTATTTGTCAGAGAGAGAGAGCACAAGCAGGAGGAGCTGCAGGCAGAGGAAGAAGCAGGCTCCCCACTGATCAGGGAGCCAGACACGGGGCTCATCCCAGGATGCTGGGATCATGACCCCAGCCGAAGGCAGCGGCTCAACCGACTGAGCCACCCAGGTGTCCTGATAATCAATTTATTTAAAAGGTTGATTTAAGCATCTGCAAGACTTCAACCTCAACTTTTGGCTCAATACTGATGGAAGTAATGTGCTTAACAATCTCAGAAGGACTGTGCAAATCAATGAGTCGCTTGTGGATCCTTATCTGAAAATGATCCCTAAGTCTTAGAACCTTCACCACAAGGAGTTTTTCTTATATTGATTCTCAGAGTCTTGGTAGGCATCTGAACTGGTCCTTTCACTTTGCGATTCTTTACTTTTTTGCCTCTGATCAAGTAAGGCAGCACATACTTTCTCCAAAGATTTTACATTGTGGTTGGTTAGAGTAATTCTAATTTGGTGAATCACCACCTCTTGTTCCATGGGTGTCTTCCTGGTGTCCTTAAAAGCCATGGACGAGGCAAGCTTTCTGACGGACTTGTTCCTCCAAGAAAGTGAACAGTGGTGAGTCAGGAGCTGGAGGTGTGTGTCCAGAGCTCTGCTATAGGTCTGACCTCATCTTCCTTAAAGAACTATTTTTTGTATTTTAATCATGTATCTTCCATTAGTTATTTGGTTCTTTTTTAAAAAAATTGTGGAAAATGCACATAATATACAATTTACCATTTAAACTATGTTGAAGTGCACAATTCAGTGTCATTAAGTAAATTCACAATGTTGTTCAACCATCGCCACTGTCTAGTTCCAGAAGTTTTTCATCATCCCAAACAGAAAGTGCATTTGGTAAGCCTTTTAAAGCTCAAGATTTGTATCTTTCTTCAATACTAAAAGATTTTCTTGCATTATCTCTTCGAATATTTCCTTACGTCTACACTCTTGGTTCACTCCATTTAACATTTGTATAAGATGAATATTAAAAGTTCTGGATCTATCCTCCATTCTCTTATTTCCTTTGCCCTTTTTATCTGCTTTGGCCTGGTCTTCCAGCTTGCTGGTTAGTTGTTCAGTATTTTCTGATCTTCAAGGCAATGTAATTGATGGTTTTGTTGACAGCAATAATTCTTTTTCATTTCCAAGTGATTTCTCTCTTTCTTTTTTGGTTTCTTGAGTTTCTTTTTTAAAATAAACTTTTATTTAAAAAAATAAATAAAATAAAATAAACTTTTATTTTTAGAATACTTCCAAATTTACAAAAACATTATGAAAATAATAGAGTTCCTCTTTATCCCACATCCAGTTATGCCTATTATTAATACCTTGTATTAGTGTGGTACATTTGTCACAATTAATGAGCTATATGGGCTAAAGCCCATATTTTATCCAGATTTCCTTTGTTTTGTTTTTTTAAGATTTTATTTAAGAGAACAAGAGAGCTCACAAGTGGAGGGAGGGGCAGAGAGTGGAGATAGGGAGAGGGAGAGAGAATCTCAAGCCGAGTCCACACTGAGAGTGGAGCCCGACATGGGACTCCATCTCATGACCCTGAAATCACAATCTCAGCTGAAACCAAGAGTCAGTTGCTTAACCAGCTGAGTCACCGAGGCACCCCAGATTTCCTTAGTTTTTATCTAGTGTCCTCTTACTGTTCCAGGATACCATTTTATATTTAATTGCCATGTCTGTTTAGAGTTATCTTTTCTCTGACAGTTTCTAAGATTTCCTTGTTTTTGATGACCTTGACAATGCTAGGCAGTGTTACCAGGTATTTTTGTAGAATGTCCTTAATTGGGATTTGTCTGATCTTGAAATTATGATTAGATGGGGTTATGGATTTTGGGGAGTAAGACTACAGATGTTAAGTGCTGTTCTTATATCCTGTCTAGCATACTATATATGTTATCAACATGACTTTCCATTGTTGATGTTAATTAATCTTGATCATCTGGCTGAGATAGTTTTTGTCAGGTTTGTCCACTGAAAAGTTATTATTTTTCCCCCTTTTCCATATTGTACTTTTGGGAAGAAGTCACTGTGCACAGCCTATAATTAAGAGGAAGAGACTTAGGGCACCTGGGTGGCTCAGTCGGTTAAGCATCTGACTCTTGGTTTTGGCTCAAGTCATGATCTCAGGGTTGTGGGATGAAGCCCCGTGTTGGGCTCTGTGCTCAGCCAGGAGTCTGCTCCAGATTCTCTCTCTCCCTCACCCCTCCTCCCCTTTCTCTCTCTCTCTCAAATAAATAAGGGGTGCCTGGGTGGCTCAGTTGTTAAGCATCTGCCTTCAGCTCAGGTCATGATCCCAGGGTCCTGGGATCAAGCCCCATGTGGGGCTTCCTGCTCAGCGGGGAGTCTGCTTCTCCCTCTACCACTCCCCCTGCTTGTGTTCCCTTTCTCACTGTCTCTCTCTCTGTGTCAAATAAATAGATAAAAATCTTTTAAAAATATATAATAAAAATAAAAAAATAAATCTTAAAAAAAAAAAGAAGAGTTATTATGCTCTACCTCCTGGAAGGCAGAGTATCTACCTAAATTATTTGGAATACTTCTGCCCAGGAGATTTGTCTGTTTTCCCCCATTTATTTGCATATATCAGTACAGACTTAGGGATATTTATTTTATACTTGGTTTAGAATCCAATACTATTTTATTACATTGCTCAAATTGTTCCACCTTTGGCTGTTAAGAGCTCTTTCAGTTAGCTGCTGTGTGCCTTTGCCATACCCCAATCATTGTAGTGTTTGTCTGTCTATCTGTCTGTTTGTTTTCGAGCACTTCTTTACTTTCTGGCACTACAAGATACTCTAGCCTCATTTAGTATTTCCTTCTCCAGTCCTAGAATCAGTCATTTCTCCAACAGTGTGTCCTGATTTTTAAAAATTGGAGAATGATACTAGAAATCAAGATCTGAGCACTAGGTGTCCAAGATCTCTTAATTGTATTTTTAAATAACATTCATAACATTCTTTTTATTTCTTCTGACTTCTCTGCTCTGAGGATATTAATTACAATTCTTTTGGAGACTCCTTGCATTTATTAATGGTATTTCCTTGGGTAATATTAATTATTGTATTTGTTGGATTTAGTCATGGAGGTAGTTTTCTTTAAATATTTAGTGATACTTTTATGTGTACTTATATTTGCATTTGGGAATCCCTGTTTGCTTTTCTGTAGCTGGAGTTTCTATTTTCTGTACATTGCTGCCAGTGATTATGGAGGAGGCATAAGGTGTACAGACAGTGAAGTCTGTCAGCAATTCATTTTCTCTTTGTGTGGAGGCATTACCCTGCCTCTCTAGCCCAAACCCTCTTGTCTCAGTGTGGGGTGAACACCTCTGATGCCTAATGTTTAGCTCAAATGGGGATGAAGGTACACAAATGATCAATCATTCCCCTGCTACCCACATGTACATCCTTTAAACTTGGGGTGCCTCAAAGCTGCTCCCAAATTTCATAGTGATCTTCTCCTGTATTTTTTTAGTCCTATAGTTTCCTCAATCATCTAATTCTACCTTCCTTGCATTTTTCAGAGACCTTCAAAATTTCTGACTACTGAAGACCCCTTTCATGATTGCCAGTTTTCTTATGTTTATGTTAACACCACACACACACACACACACACACACACACACACACACCCTTTTTTGTCATTTCTAGAGATTTTGATAGGTAGGGAATATAAGTGCCTGTTCTCACTCCACTATCTTGGTCTAATATCTCAATACTGCATTTTTAAAATGAAAACCTGAAAGAGACTGGAAATATGAGAGTGGAAAGAAATATATTTAAATATATATGTGTGGTAGAGTCTCTTCACTGCCTACTCAGCAGACATTTCCTCACCTTTTTGTCTGCCAACTGAGCCTCAATTTTGCAGCAGATAGAAATCATTTGATGTCAGGAACTTATTCTAAACCCTGGCATGAAGGAATAAATTATAATTAGTCAAAACTATTCATAATAATCCCTTTTTCCAGGCGCCTGGGTGGCTCAGTCGTTAAGCGTCTGCCTTTGGCTCAGGTCATGATCCCAGGGTCCTGGGATGGAGTCCCACATTGGGCTCCCTGCTCGGCAGGAAGCCTGCTTCTCCCTCTCCCACTCCCCCTGCTTGTGTTCCTGTTCTCGCTATCTCTCTTTCTGTCAAATAAATAAATAAAATCTTTAAAAATAAAAAATCCCTTTTTCCTTGACCAGTTATTGGTCTAAGGATACACATGCAACTTAATAAGACCAATGAAATGTAAAGGAAAATTTTGGAGCAGGGAGTCTGGGACATTCTCTTCTTATATAATAAAGTAGAACCACAAGAAGAGAAAACCCGTTTGTTCTCAATTCTCTTTTCCTAGAAGGAAGTGATGCTGGGAGCTGCAATAGCTACCTTATAATCTTCAGGTACAAGCACAAAAAATGAATAAAGAACAATAGAAACAGGCTAGGTACTTAATGAAAAACAGTGAGCTGCTGAATGACTTCTGATTAAGTCAACAATCAATGTCCTTAGAGTGAAAGTCACTGTTATCTGATTTTCTGTTACTTTCAGCTGTGTTTGAATACACCATGTAAATGGATATAAAGAACTTTTTTCTAATAATATTCTAAAGTAACATAGATTAAAATCTACTTCTAATATTTCTTACATTTCTACATTACTTTTTTTCCTCCTCAGAAATACACCTGGAAGAGCAGACAAAAACCTCAATTTGTTCAATAAAGGACTCTAACACTAGAGTCTCGAAGACTTTGGTGGTTAGAAAACCTGCAAAAGTGATTTTCAATTTAGATCCAACTGCACTGAACTCAAAGCTAGAACAGCCATGGAAGAAAAATTTTTTCGAAAGATTGGAAGCAAGAGCCCAGGCAATGCAGCAGAAAATAATAGATAAGGACAATCTGAAGAAAGAACTAGAAAAAAAGGCTGAAAAAAAACTCTCTAGGGATAATTTGGCCAAAGAGTGGTTTAATGCTGAAAACATGACACTGAACACTCGTGCATATTTGCTTGACAAACTTCTGCCTACCTTAGTTCCTGGAGTGGAAAAAATGTTAATGCAAGTGGAAAAGAAGAAGCTTCGGGCAGATGTTGATAATACAACCAAGTTTAACCCAATTAATCATTTGGGGGAATACTTAATGAGAAACAATCCTTATTATATCAAAGACTCAGGAATGTCTGGTTATCAAAGGGTGATGAGGGATGTCACAGAAGCCCTGAAGATACATGTTCCCGACACTACTGGCAACAGGTACAATTTTTTATATTTTCAATTGATGATCTAGGTCCTTATATTGAAAGCAAGTAGAACAATGACATAATCATACAAACAGGACTTCAATAATTTTGTAATTATTCAGAAAGTATTTATTGAGTTGCTAGTATGTGTTTCACTATTTAAAAGGCACTATGAAGGGCGCCTGGGTGGCTCAGTTGGTTGGGCGACTGCCTTCGGCTCAGGTCATGATCCTGGAG